ATCATGTGTTTATGGGCTTGTGATAGACTTGTTGCTACTCAATCGCAGTTAAACCAGTGTCAGCCCTTTGAGCCTCATGAACCCCATGTTATATTTGTTGAGTACGACATGTACTTACGCTTGCTTTATTTTTTTCAATTATTTGGATAAAAATCCCGAATGGGTACTAGATTGCTAGAGTTTTGAGGAATTAGGCTTGTGATCAATAAGTCAATTGTCCCTATGGAATTGGAGTCTTCACCCGAAGATCGGGGTTGTCTTTCCGCTGTTTGCTATCTAAGGTTATATTCTTTATACTAAGTACGTTATATATTGAGCATTGTCTATTGATATTACCTTTATTTGTGGCTATATGTGAGATTTGACTTCTTGGGCTCACATATGGTGTGTATCTATATTTGTCCTTAAAACCGGGTGCTACAAAGTGGTATCAGAGCAATGCTGACTGTAGGACATAAGCCTAGTAAAAACTGATCGTTTTAAGGTTTTGAAATTGCTATAAAATTCTTGTTCTATAAACCTTGATATTTTCTTCTCTACTATATATCTATCCTTGATATTTATCTCCTTGATGCTTGTTTTAAGCCTTTGTTCTCATCTTCACTCCTTGGTTTGATATGCTTTTAGAACGGTTCCTCACCACTTTCTTGCGTAATCTAAAGATGAGTCTTAGAATTGTTACCCCTAGTACAATAAAAATGTTAGCATCGTAAGTCGAGTCAATGATTGAGTTGTGCATATTTATTGCTTTGTTGAATTGTCATTATGTTTATGCTTGTTTTGCATCTTTGTAATGATTGCAATGATCTTATTGGGTTTGCCCATAATTTCATTTAGTTTATAGGCCTAAGGTATAAGGATTAGTGCAATAAATAGTTGGGTTATGGTTTTCTTCTGTTTCCGCTATCCTGTCTTTTTGGAGCAGTCTGCACTCTTCGGCTTATATCTCTGTTTTTAGACTATCAAAAATCATGAGAAAATTTTGGACAATAGTAGACTTCAATATATTTCTCTGAGTGCAAGAATTATCCTGATAGCTATTTTGGTTATGGAGATACGAAAATCACAAGGCGATGCATCTGTGCTGTTTGGAACCTGGAATAGTTTGCCTTGTGCACTGTTTTCTACCTCCTAAACTGAGGAATTTGGAAAAGTGTTTTATAAGAAAGTTGTGGATAATTTTATAAGCTTTCCAACGGTATAAGCATAGCTTCATTGGATTAACAGAATGGGAGTTACAACTATTTTACTGCGCTGCTGTTTTTCATCTCGCGAGGAAATTCAGGTTTCTTGTCCTTGCCCATATACAAGAGTACCATCGGGATGTCAGAACATCTTGATACTAGTTAGTTCATCTAAAAGAATGTGCACACTATGCTTGGTGTCCCCTAGTTTATCTTTTCTTAAGGGGATAGCCAAGTTGAAGAATTTGCAAGATGAAGTGTCCTACATTCTAGATTGCGCAGCGGAAGCGTGGTGGTACCCAAAGATGTGAGAGAAACTTAGAGTTTCAATGAGGTTTGGTTAAAGGTTCAACGAAGGTTTATCCAAGATCATCAAGATTTTGGTAGAGCTACTGGAGAAGCTTTTAAGTTAGTTTGGATGAATAGACCTCGGCTAAGTGTTTGAAGGAGTCCGAGAAGAGGTTGGAGTAAAACCTATATATTAGCTTTGTTAGATCAGGACAAGAGCTTCATATCTACAATGATGCACCTTGTTAGGGTGTGGAATGTGCCCTTATACGAGAGTAAAAGAAGTGGCTTGTTCATTAAGTCAACTAAGGAAGCATGAGTTGAACTACCCAACATGCATCTGGAGTTATCTATTATGGAGAATGGAAGTAATATCTTTTTGGAAGTAAAAGTTTCATCTAGGAGGATCACAGGAAACTACAGGACATCCTCACTAAGTTGGTCTTGAGCTTGTGATATCCTCGTTGGAATAAAATTGATTGTGACTTGGAAAAGTGCTATCACTTGGAGAAGCAAAAGTCATGGCCGATGCCCTTAGCAACAGAGAATTATGCTAAGAAGGTTTGGGTGACACCAAGGACTAAGAATCGTATTCCAAGTTTGAGCAACTTAGCCAGAAACATTAATGTTTTGAAGATTGGTAGTAGAATTTCTTTCTGTCTAAGAGATTCGTCAGGCTTCGTTGGAAGGTGAATATTTTAAGAAGAAGAATTGATATTATGGATTGAAAAGGGAAGGTGGCCTAGTGTTTGGAGTTACCTGAGTATTGTTGGAGTTACCTAAGTATTGTTGGAGTATCTGTTAGAATCTTGGAATCCGTTTAGCAAGTTATTTGGAGTAAGATTAACAGGTATCCAAAGAAAAGTGGAGTCTTCACCCGAAGATCGAAGCTGTCTTTCCGCTGTTTGTTGTATAAGGTTATATCCTTTATCCTAAGTACGTTATGTATTTAAGCATTGTCTTTTGATATTACCCTTATTTGTAGCTATATGTGAGATTTGACTTCTTAGGCTCAAATATGGTGTGTATCTGGTTTTGTCCTTAAAACCGGGTGTTACAATCCCATTGCAACATTATCTGTTGCAACATCCCTAAAAACCAATTGCAACACGGAGGAAACAACAAAAGGGCGTACGAATATCAAAGGAGATGGGTTCGAGGTGCAGCCTGCTTCAGCCATGGCCCATCACCTCCGAGCTTGCTGGAGGGAGGAGGGAAGGACCCTAGAGCTCGTCGGAACCCTAGCCATCGCTGCGTCCCTTAGATCCAGAGGAGGAGGAGGAGGACGAGGGCTTAGATCCAGAGATGGAGGAGGAGGAGGAGGGCTCAGATCTAGAGAAGGACTGACCTACCTCTTTAGAGCCGCCCCCATCGTTCTCGTCTCCGGTGGGGGGCACATGAACTGGGTTGCTGGGGAGCACGGGGTTGCATAGAGCTCGCGGAGGGGGAGGGAGCACGGGCGAGCGGGGGTGACAGCGAGCTTGCGTGCGGGCGCTGGAGCCGGTGTGGGGATGAGGGAGCGAGCGGCAGAGTGGGGATGAGGATGAGGGAGAGCGTTGCAAGAGCTGATGAGGGCGGTCATGTTGCAGGAGAGCGCTCCATTTGTGGTGGGTCCGTATGGACGGGACGGACACTCGCTCTATATCATTATCGTATTTTAAGGCAGCCTTGATACACGGTCAATATGCCGTTAAAACTTTATATTATTTTTGAGCAACTTAATGCCCTCAAATGGTAAAACTCAAAACTAGAAATTTACAGATCTCATTGAGAGATAGAACTTTTATTTACAAAGTATCTTTATCCGACACCATACAAGAAACATATAATTTTTCTAATGCGATAAGTCCTGGTACACGATTAATATACCGCTGAAATTTTATATTATTGTTTGAACATCTTAGCGATCTCAAATGATAAAATTCAAAACTAGAAAGTTGTAGATCTCATTAAAATCTATAATTTTCAAATAACAATAATCTTCATCCGACTTCATACAAGATAAATATGATTTTTCTAAAGTGGCAGACCCTAGTACACGATTAATATGCTGCTGAAACTTTATATTATTTTTAGCATCTTAACAACCTCTAATGAATCAAAATTGGAAAGTTCTAGATCCCATTGAGAGCTATCAATTTTTATAAAAGGCATCTGCAGAGGTTGTATGAAAAAAGGATGTGATTTTTTAAGGTGGGGCTTTGCCACTGACATGTGAATCCCATCTTTCAAATCCGTGCCATGTATATAGTGGGTTGGGTAAATGCCAGTTTGAAACTGGATAATACCCGTTACAACTTCAGAGAGCCAAACAAGCATTTTGAAACTTTGGGAATCTAAATGACACATCCACACAACTTTAAGGACCGTCAGTGAATTCTACTCATATAAAAACGACAAACTAATGTTACTAAACCTTCCTACAGAGAAACAAGAAAACAAGAAGAAATCTTCCAGGCCATATCATTCTCTAATTTTTCCTAATCGGGTCTCTAAGGCCTTTTTTATTTCAAAATGCAAGGGAACGTGAGAGCAGCCATGGCCGTGGTTTTGTTTGTTATGAATTACAAAAGATAGAACTCACGGCCATGGCACAGATGTTAGTGGAACAAAGAGCAGCCATAAGACAGAGTGTAGGCTGCCAAACATGTACCAACTATTTCACCTTGAGATTTTCATGACCCGCGGTCTGCAAAACTGCCTGCCTTTTATAGAATCTCTAGTAGCTGGCCCCGTTAACAATAAAAAGTAACTTGGGCCGAAAATTAAAGGCAAAGCCCACAAAAGGAACAGAAAGAGTTCACCAACAAAATAAGCAAGCTCCACTCAAAAAAAAAAAAAAAAGCAAGCACACGGGTCACAGTGGAGGAATGGCTCGCAGTAAAATTTCACAGTGATCAAAAGTAAGATTTGCCCAGCTAATGTCTATAACGCCAATTCCTAAAGAAAACGGGAAGTCTATCATATGCTACAAAACGTACAAGCAACATGCCGTCATAGGATTAAGTAGAACCGGATTTGTAAAAGAAAAAGAAATTAAAAAATGAAGGAGATACAAGCGAACGTTGTTGCTTGCAAGCTTCAGGTTTAGGCACCGGCATGCTAGCATGTCTGCTACTGCTATCCATCCATGCTTTATGCTGCGAGTAGTATGCCATGCAGTTCCCTATTGCTTCACGTTTCAGTAGCACGTTACTAGCGCTCGGTAGTAGCCACTCCACCTGACACCGCATCCTTTTTGGCCTGGCAACGCTATATCTGATCCCGGAATCGACAGCCTTTGCACTGACGTGCACAGATCATTCACCCCAACCTCAGATCCATATCCATCAATTCCTTGCAAGCTAACAAATGGGCACGCTTTCAATCCTCACGCCGTTGCCGGTGGCAATAATGTGTCCATCTTATTATTGATATATATACGCGCTCCTTCCACGTTGATCGATGTGCACAAGGACTCAGCGACCGGGTGTTGACTGTTGAGCATCCAGAGATCATCGTCGCCTGTAGATACTCCAGCAATCGGCCATGTCGTCTCTGGTCAGGTCGTTTGCGTCCCTCTACTGCCAGAAGCTGCGCTCCACCACCCGCCTCGGACCCGTGACGGCGGCGCCACCGCGTTTCCAGGCGATGAACCGACGGGGACTGTCAGCCTCCAGCGGCGCGGCAGACGCGAGACGTCCGCCGGCGGCTCTGCCGATGCCGAGCCAGCAGTCCCAACAACAGAAGCGGACGCCTTTCTTCACCTGGTGACTGTTTCTGTCCGTTGTACAGTTACTGATGGCTTCCTTTTATTGTGTCCGGCTCCTAATCCTTGCATTTTCCTTTGCTGTATGTTATGTATCAGGGCAAGATTGGCCGTTGGCTCTATTCTTGCTGCCGCTACACCATTCCTGCATTCCAGATGGGCGTCGTTCCTGCGGATTCAGAGTAAGCAAACGAGCTCTGTTTCTGAAAAAACTCTGATGCAGGATATTGTCGCGTCCTGATCGGTCATCAACGATGCGAAATTTAACTGGCTGGAGGCTGGCTGTGCTCAGGTGAGGTGGAGATGGTGAAAGACACGGCGGAGGCAGTGGCGGAGGTCGTGGAGAAGGCGGCCACCGTTGCAGAGAAGGCGTCGTCGGAAGTGGCCGAGCAGCTGCCCGAGAACGGGAGGCTAAGGGCGGCGGCCGTCCTCCTGGAGCATGCGTCCAAGGAAGTCGGCGAGGAGGCACACCTTGCACAGGACATCCTCCACAAGGTACACACAGAGCTTGCGGTCCCAAGCAATGAAGCAACACAACTTTTTTACACAAGGAAGTCCTGTGTTTCTACTTGTTGCCCCAGCACAAACTTGCACTAGACACTATCCACAGTCCAGTTGTTGTGCAAACGCCACTACCAGATGCATCCCTGATTAAACACAACTTGTTGATGCAGGTCCACGAAATTGAGGAGGACGTGAAGGCCATCATGGATCACAGCAAGCATGCAAGGGTACACGACTGACATCTCAGCAGAGCATGAATGAAAGAAAAGAAAAAAAAACAGTTCCAGAGTCCTTTCTCAATTCTCAACTAGGGAAATCATAAGAAAGGCAAGGATTTTTAAGCCAGGGCCGCCGCTGTTACGGTTTTGTTTGACTGATGAAGTTGTCTGTTGCTGTTGTAAATCCCTAGTAGTTGTAAGAAGAAATTGGTAATGAAAGAATATAATCTGCTTATATAAGCAAACAAACAAACACAGCTCCCGTCAGAAAATTGATAGGATCACACATCCTCATCATCTCTGTCTCAAGCCTCGAAAGAACAAACAAACAAATAAATAAATAATGGATCGCAAAACAGAGTATCAACAACAGCAGAGCAGAGCAGAGCAGAGCCGCGCAGGTGCAGCAGGTGCAGCTCCTCCACGAATGCGGCTGCAGATGTCTAGAGTCTAGAACACGACGGCGGCTGCCACAGCGCCGGCGATGACGAAGAAGCCGGCAGCGGAGGCAGACGTGGCGGTGCTCTTCTCCGTGACGGGCGCGGCCGCCGGAGTCAGAGCGGAGGCTCCCGCCGGGGCCGTCGCGTCGCCTACTCCCTCGCCGATGGGGCTCGCGGCCGGTGCGTCGGCGGAGGGCGCGGACACCGGCGCCATCGCGGGAGGCGAGGGCGGGGAGGCCGTGGGGGCCCTGGTCGGCGGCGGCGGGAGAGGGGCCATCTTGGGTGGCGCCGGCGCCGGCGCGCGCTTGGGCGACGCGGCCGGGGCCTGCGCCGTGGCCGCGACGGCGAAGACGGCGAGGAAGGCAACGAGGACGGCGGCGAGGCGGGCCATCTGTGTCACAAGTGAGTGAGCGACTTCCTTCCTGGGTCAGCAAGCTGCTGCTGCTGGAATCTTGAGGATGGTATGGAAAATTGGTGATGGATGGGAGAAGGCCGCAGGGGACGACGACGTACTTATAGGCGGCGCTGCCCGCTGGCGTCGTTTTTGAATACTTTTGGGTTGTCATTAGCCGTTGGGCCTGATTCCTTGTGCCAGTGCAACGGCGGCACACGACGGGCCACCGGGACCAGCTCGGGATGATGGGACATGGGACCGGGGGATCGCACGCAACGGCTAGTTGCGAGTGAGCCGGGGCGGCCGGATCATGGACGGACAGCGGAGATGGCGGCCCTCCTCGCCGTGGGCCGTGGCTGAGGCCAGCTAGCCGTTGCGTGTTAAGCGTACCTTTTTTTAGCCTCGTCGTGCATAAAGATAAAGCCGTTGTCGCTGGCCGGCTTTCACGGCCTGTTAGACTGGCAAGGGAAACCAAATGATGCCGGCCACGACGCCGCCGCACCAAAGCGCGCCCGGTGGATTTTCGTTCGTTAGATCTGGAAGGTCACGGAGACGGAGGATGGGTCATGGGTGCTGTGTTCAAAAGCACTCGTGTCATGAGTTAACAAGTTCTGGAGCTCATGGCCCATTGCTTAGAATGCAATGCACTATGCTGTCACGAACTTTGACAAGATAACTGGGATTTGGGAAGAACAGGAATGGGGATTTGGGAAGGAGAGGAAGGATTCAGTTGGGAGTTTGTTATTTCATTTCAGGCGTAAATCATTCATAAGGATTACAACGGCTTATAAATGCTGCACCGCTTCTCATCTACTGGGTCGAGCCCTGACTTCCTACTGGGCCAAGCCCAAAACACAACCGACTAATAGACTGGGCTGACTTCCACCAATTCCCGCCTAACAATGGTCACCAGGCTTCTTAGCCACTTCGGGATACCGCCTTCTTGTTGGTCAGGTTCTTGACATTGCTCCCTCCTTTTTGCTGTAGCTTGTCCTCAAGCTGATCGATAACGACACTTCATGTCTTGCTCATCTTCCCAAGAAGCCATAGATGCTGGCTGGTGATCCCACTACACAAGCACTTGCTGAGTCGGTGAGCCACCCTTCCAAATAACTCTGTAGTCAAGAACCTGTACTGGTTTGCACTGAATAGAAGGGTCGGTAGCAATGGAATCCAAGGTGTCCAATACCTGAGTTTGTGGCAGCACATGCTTCTTTAACTGAGAGACATGCACTACTGGGTGTATGGTTGCAGAAGGAGGCAATTCCAATTTATAAGCAACCGCTCCCACCCTTGTGAATATCTTGAATGGCCCATAATATCTGAATGACAGCTTATGGTTACTACGAAATGCCACAGATGATTGTATGTGTGGTTGCAACTTCAAATAAACCAAATCTCCAACATTGAATTCCCTTTCAGATCTTCCTTTGTCAGACTGATCCTTCATTCTTTGCTGGGCTCTAAGCAATTGCTGCTGAATGAGCTTGGTTAACAGATTTCTATCAGCTAACCATGTTGCCAGATCAGGAACAATAACAGCTGCTGGATCAGTAATGCCTAACTGCTTTGGAGAATGACCATAAAGAACTTGAAAAGGAGTAGTACCCAAAGATAACTGGTAGGATGTATTGTACCAAAACTCAGCCAAGGGTAGCCACTTGTGCCAATCTTTAGGACAAGAATGCATTGAGCAACGTAGGAAGGCCTCCAAACATTGGTCAACTCATTCTGTCTGCCCATCAGTTTGTGGGGGGTAGGCAGAACTCATAAGCAACTCGGTATCAGATAAATCAAAGAGCTGCTACCACAAGGTACTTGTGAAGACACTATCCCTGTTTGAAATAATAGCACTAGGCAAGCCATGGAGTTTGTAAATGTTACTAAAGTATGTCTGTGCCACTTGGAGAGCAGTATATGTGGGATAATGGTAAGAAATGAGCATACTTGGTCAACTTGTCAACCACAACCATAATGACATCCCATTTGGCAGATTTTGGCAATCCTTCAATAAAATCCATACTGACAGTATGCCATGCCTGCTCAGGAACAGATAAATGTTGCAAGAGTCCAGGGAGCTTGACATGCTCAGATTTTGCTTGCTGATAGATTGGGCAGCTTTGAATATAATCCATGACAGTTTGCTTTAGTTTGGGCCAAGAAAATAGAGCTTTGACCCTGTGGTAGGTAGCTTGTATCCCAGAGTGACCACCTAACCCACTGGAGTGCAAGGCTTGCAAAATATATTGTTGTGCTAGTTTATTGTTTCCAATCCAGACTCTTCCTTTGTACCTGATTATACCTTGCTGCAGTGTATAACCTTTTTCATTATCCGACTGAATACTCAACTCAGTCAACAGTTGCTTAGCTTGAGGATCATCTTCAAAACCTTGTTGTAACTTCTCCAGCCAAGATGGTGTACTAACAGAGATTGCCAACAATGAAGATCCTTCAAGTATCCTAGAAAGAGCATCAGCAGCAACATTGGATATGCCTTTCTTATATAAGATCTTGTATTGTAGATCCATTAATTTCATCAAAGCTTTCTGTTGGATCCTGGAAACCACTTTCTGATCTATCAAATGTAACAAACTCTGATGATCAGTTCTGATAATGAATTCCTATCCATGCAGGTATGATCTCCACTTATCAACTGCCATTATTATGGCAAGGCACTCCTCATAAGTGGAATAAGCGTAAGTCCTGGAATTGACAGCTTTACTTAAGAAGGAAATTTGGATGACCCTTTTGCATGAGAATTGCTCCCATCCCCAAATCACTAGCATCTGTTTCAATTTTAAATGTTTCAGAGAAATTAGGTATTGCTAGTACTGGTGCCTGAGTAAAAGCTTCTTTCAGCAATAAGAAAGCCTCCTGAGTTAGTGGTGTCCACTGAAACTAAACTCCCTTTTTGAGCAAATGAGTCAAGGGCTTACTAATGAGACCATAGTGTCTTATGAACCTTCTATAGTAGCCTGCCAAACCAAGAAATCCCCTAAGCTATTTGACATTGGATGGAATAGGCCATTGAGCCACATCTTGAATTTTTGAAGGTTCTGTTGCAACCCCATCCACATACACTATGTGACCTAGGTACTCTAGAGATCTTTGAGCAAATTCACACTTGGACCTCTTTAGGAGAAAGTGATTTTGCTTCAGAATTTCTAACACTTGCTGTAAATGCTCCACATGAGCCTACAAGGAATTATTGAACACCAGTATATCATCCATGAATACTAAAACACACTTCCTTAGCAACTTTGCAAAAACTATGTTCATTGTACTTTGGAAAGTAGCAGGTGCATTGGTGAGCCCAAAAGGCATCACTTTGAACTCATATAAGTCTTGAAAGCAGTATTAAATTCATCACCCTCTAGAATCCTTATTTGATGATATCCAGCTCTGTAATCAAGTTTTGTGAAATATGTTGCACCAGCTAACTCATCCAATAACTCATCTACTATATAGGTAATGGGTGCTTATTCTTAACTGTGATATTATTGAGTTGCCTATAATCCACACAAAAATGCCAAGTCCCATCTTTTTTCTTGACAAGTAGCTCTGCGGAAGCAAATGAACTAGTGCTATGCCTTGTAATACTAGAATTGAGCATTTCTTGAATTTGCCTTTCAATCTCATTTTTCTGATGAGGAGCATACTTATAGGGCCTCACATTTATAGGCTGGGCACCAGTAATCAAGGGAATGTGATGATCATACTGCCTTTGTGGTGGTAACTCTGATGGCTCTTCAAATAATTTCTCATACTGTTGCAGCAAGTACTGAACTGCAGAAGGCAAGTTCTCCTATTGGGACTTTTCAGATGCAGACACTGCTAATACTGACATGGGAGGGTCAGACTGACAATCAGGTATTGACTGCACATGTAGTTCTAACATGTGTGTTGCAGCTCCTGTCTTCAAAAGACTTTTCAACTTGTAAGCAGGGACTTGAGCACAAGTTGTGGTTTCATCCCTAACTCCTTTGAAAAGCACTCTCTTCTCCTGATGAGTAAACTTCATCCACTTCTTCTTCCAATGAAACCACATGGGACTTTTCTCTTCAAGCCAATCAGCCCCTAGGATTAGATCATACCCTTTGAAGGGAAGAATTCTTGTATCAAACTGAAAGGTGTGTCCCTGAATATGCCACTATAGCTGTGGAATGAATGTGTCAAACATCATACTA